GATCCCTTGCCCCCCCCCAACAGAGGTCTGGGCTGAGCCCCCCAGTGTCCTCAAATATTAGACACGCCCCTGTGTACAGCTAACCTTTGCGCATCCGCTGTGACTGGATTTGTCTCTTGGCAAAGATAAAGCAGGTCGCAAACTTCGAAACACTGAAAACAGGAAATTCATTTACAGTGAGAAATATTATTAATGTTCGTTTGTTAACTGGCCCCTGGCCTCCTGTCATTTTGCAAACTGAGTATCTCTGTTATACACGATAAAAAAATGGAACATCACAAGAGGGGTGTGATGCTGTAGAAACAAGGGTGCAGTTGTGCAGCCTTAGTGTTATGTGTCAGGGCAATCCCATGCAATCTGAGTCTGGTTGTGCCTTTTATAATGTTAAGTTGTTTGTAGGCAAGCCTGACCCACATGACCACACACCTTATGATCAAGACCTCATAACCCAGATCTAATTTCAAGATAAGATATGATGTAAAAATCTTTTCTGTGGGATAAAAGACTGAAGATACTAAGAATGCAAATACTGGTCAAAAGAGGGGAACAAAACTGAAAGAACAGTAACATCCGACCTCTGGCTGTGCCCTTGTGAATATTTCACAACCAGTGCCCACTTTTGATGAGTGAATCTGTCAACGGTGGAGACAGCTTCAGACATTTGAATCTTTAAACAGAGGAAACTGTCTGACAGGGTTTCAGCAGACATCAGTAGCGCGGAGCTAAGTGAGAACGAGCAGGAAGCTGGCAGGAAGCTCCAGAGTGGGGAAGGAAGAATAGGGAAGTAATGGCAGGGGCAGGGTGCTGCCACCGCTGCCACTGTGCTTATCTGGAGTTCCTGCAGGCACCCAGACCTGGAGGGCAGGAGGACTGCTGACATAGCGCTACCTTCACCCAGAGGGGAACTTCTCAGACAGGCAGCACAGAGCGGAGTTTTACTTCCTGTTTCCACGACACAGATTCAAGCTTTGAGGGCAGACCACTTGCCTTGAGGTTTCTAGCTCACTGGCTCCTATCTGACACCACTACACACTGACATGAATAATCAGCTGGTTATATGGTATTCTTCCAGAGGTGTAATTTGCCAGCACGCTTCTTTTTGCGTGTGAGAGGCTGCCAGGTTACCATGTGTGGTCTTATCTCGGGCCCGATGGAATTAGGTTACTGAACATATGCTACAGATTTCCATGGCAACAAGAGTGGGGGGATCTGGAATCATGTCAGTAGCAGTGCCAATAGGCTAGCTTTTCTTGCAGCACTGACGCTCTGTTTTCCAAAGACAGCCACACTGCGAGACAAAGCCTGCATGCCAGATCTATTCTGGTGGCTCGGGGACCGTCCTGACGCGGCCCTGTCTTCATCAGACTGGCAACAACAAAAGGAGGATGCGCTGAAATAATTCAGACATAAACATGGCCAGTGACCACGCTGGTCGAATCCAAGTGGACCTGTTTTAATCCAATTAAAGGGAGGAGAGCCAGTGGAATGGAGCTGCGATAAACGCTATCATCCATCATACTGGGACAGTGGAGACTCTGGGATCGACTCTGGAGAGGGCAGACACTAACTTTAAGGGCTCCAAAGGCCACGTGCAGCGGAACACACCAGCACTATGGGGCTGTGATATAATGAAGCACAGTTCCATTGTTCAAGAGACAGGTTAACCTAAAACAAAAATACATATTTTTTCATCTTACCTGTAGTTAATCTGGGCTACAGGACTAGAGATGTTTTATTTATTCTAAAATCGGGCTGCATTATGCATATACGGAGATATACGGAGAAACTTCACAGATGTTCTCTCTAATCGCAAACATGCACACACTGCACAAGATTTGACTAACGGTGCATCTCACACTACAGGATATTATTTAGATTACCGTGGCAGAAGGGATGAATGCGCCACAAAACAAAACAGAAAATGACATGGTGTGACAACTTGCTGTAATGTTAGCAATGCTGTACAGTGAGAAAAACAAAAGAAGACTAAATGAGTCCGGATGAGGAAATGGTGGGGGAATGCGGTCTATACAGGTTTGTCTATTTTTTAGCGAGAATCTGAGGTGAGATTTCAACTGTCAGTTTTAATATCTGTCAACAGTAATATGCTAGCTAACATTAGTATCAAGGGCTAGGATGTTTGCCGTTGCTTGGCAACACCATCAGGGGTTCCAAACCAATGTAATCGTGACTGTAATCATCAGGGACAAATAGGCCAAAAACTGTAGTCTTAGCTTGGCTTTACTGATCAATCTAGATTGTTTTGGTGTGAGTTGCCAAGTGTAAAGCTGTGTACCTTTCTCGCATATAATAGAACTAGATAGCACTCAGCTTGCGGAGTTCAAAGCTGTAACGTTAGCTAGCTCAGTGGTGTTTGATGAGCTAGCAGTAGATGCACGCTCCATTCTTTGCAGCAATAAGATTGCCAGATGTAGTTCAGTGCAAAGAAAATAGATTGTACATGAAAGTGCTCACAACAAGATCTGTGGATTACCTTCAGTAACCAGATCATGATTTTTGGAAAGAGACATTACTGTTTAGGTTTTTTTTGGCATTTTGAGCACCACAAGCAGAGTGCCATCTAATTACATTACACTGGAGAGAAGGCAGACATCTGTATGGCTGATATCTTATATCAACACTCAGCAACTCACACCCAAACAATCTAGACTGATAAACAGCACTACAGGTAAGAGGAAAAATATGCATTTTTTATTTTGGGGTGAACTGCCCCTTTTAAGTTAAACAATATTGCCATTGGGATAAAACCGCATTGTGCTGCTATTCAAATTTAAAATTATGAAACATCACAGCTCACACAACTACACCTCTGTTGCAAATCTTTGTCTGCTGAGTGGGTTGTTATCTTGAGTGAAACTTCACAGTCGAGGTACTGATTCAGTGCACACAAACACTTCCCAAAGTCAATGGGTTGCTGCTGGATGAAAACAAATTGAAATTACCCAAGGACAAGACCATTCATGCAGCCTCTGAGCTAAGAAAAACAAGGGAAAGAAAGCGTTTTTATAGGACAATATATTAGAGAATATACTGTATGAGAACGGCTGAAGTTAAGCCGGGCTCATAGTGTTCTGTTGTTTCTATATTTCATGCTCTGTCACAGCTCAGCAAAGCTTGCCTAACGTTGTTAGGCTCACACAGCAGTGTGTATATGTGCATAAGACTGCGAGTGAGTGCGTGTGTGAGAGAGAGGGGGTAGATAAGAGGGCATGTTCCAAGTGCTACTGCACAGTGTTTCTAAAACATCTATTGTCAGAATATGTGTGTGTGTGTCCCTCTCTGCCTTCCAGCAGTAGACAGAGACGGTGTGTCCTGTATAACTCTGTGTGTCTGCCTGTGTTTTCATGCTCAGCTGACTGAAGGTGGAGTCTGATTGGTGATGGAGGCAGAGGCTTGTTGCTACAGAGATGCACGGAAGAGTCTGCTGAATAAAAAAACAAGTTGACTGAATGATGCAAAACTACACTGACAGCATGAGCTATACTTGAGTGTCATAAATGCATGGAGCTATGGTTGTTGAAGCAGGGGCTAAAACCAGCTCTTTCTATGTCATAAAACTGTTTGAAGAGTGAGCAATGGCAGCCATGACTGCCTTAACTGTTAAATGTAGAGCAACTGCAAGGAAAGCATTGACAGCGGCGGGCAGGAATCAAGAAAGATGAAAGCCCAACTGGAGACCGATGCTGAATAAATAATGACATCCATTGTGGGGAAATGTGATCGGGCTCTCTGAAAATCAATAACTAACAACCGGACCATGATGCCCTGAGTGACTCAGCAACAACTTCAATACACTACAGGCGGTCGATAACAACTGCCTGTTCTCGTTCCGGGAGACATGACCCAAAAAGCTGAAGGAAAACTGGAAACGCTTCTAAACAAGTTTCTGTGAGGGTGGTTGGGAAGATCAGCCTTTTGGAAGAAAGTCAGTCAAAAACTGCTGGATGAGCCACACATTCACACAGAGCTTCTTACACCACACTACTGAAAGGCCTTTTGCTGTGTTGACAATGACTCAGAAGGCAATGACTGGAACAATGGATTACTGCAGCACAGTCTTCCTTGTAGATACAGTAACTGAATATATCTTTTTCACACAGTCAATACTGGCAAAACAGCGTATATGAATAGCATGTCTCTTCCACAAATAGTGTGCTCCGCTAAACCTCGCTCAATTACACAGCTGCTGCTAGCTCAATAAGAAGTTTGTTCTTGGAGAAACTCTTTATAGGTTGCAGTCTAAAAACTTTCCACTACTGACAGTCAAACTAAAAAGTCTAACAAAAATGGGAGTTTTGTCCGAGTGAAACAATACCACAGGGTAGCCACAGCTCCCAAGAGAGTCAGTCCACTGTATTTAATCACTTCCAAAATTAATAGAACTGAATCAAAGCAAGATAAAATGTATGACAGCACAACTCATCATCTAATTACCCTCTGGCTGGTTTTCATTGGGCTCAAAGAGGTCAGGTCAATCTATCTGTCCAGGCAATCCACTCAGCGCTGCATCAAGTGTACCACGTACTGTACAGCTGTGCTAGGCGGCACCAACGGGGTTGGATTTTGGTTCGCAAATCCGGCTTAGCAAGATTTTGGGTGCATCATAAAAAAACATGAAAATGCAGGCTTTGATTAGATAAGCTTTGATGAAACAGGGATTTGATCCATTGCTGTAAGGTTATTGAATCCTCAGTAATCGTTGCTAAAAGCCTGTGAAAGATGAACGGTTTCAGTTTACACCACATCACCCAGATACTGAAGCCAAGACAACACCAGCGCGAGAGCCTCAGAATAATGCCAGTTTGTACGCTCACAGCTCTAAATGGCAGCATTCCTGTGTAACACAACACCACGTCTCACTCCTCCGGTGACTTCCCCAACAACTGGCCGAGCCAGGCCGGCCCGCTGCTCTGTGCCCCGAGAGCGCTCGACTGAGAAATGTGTTGGCACCCGGCTGAGCGGACTGTGGTGGCTCTTACCTGCGCTCTCGGTGGGGCAGCGGGTGCTGCTGCTGACGTGTGATGAAGGTGGTGCCCCACACCGGGCTGCTGTGGCTGTTCCTGAGCCAGCCCACAGGGGGTGACGAGGGGTACGGGGTGCTGCGGAAGCCATGGTCTGACTCTGTCTCTGCAGTGAGAGACGAGGCTGAGCTCCCCATCACCACGGTGATAGGAAATGAGTCTCTGAATGCTCTCTGATGGGAGGTTTGTTTTGCTTTTCGCCTCGAGCTCCAGGAATCCACACTTGTATTCAGTGAGACAAACGGAGATACATGGAGACTAAACGGGTTGTTTGGACCACAACAGCAATCATGTGTTTGTACTTGCTGTAAGCTTCCTGTTGACAACTTCCTGCTTCAAATAAGAAGGATTTTCTCTCGTAAAAGACCTCTGAGGGCGCTACAGTAAAAACAAATAAAAATCACAGCAACAGGGACTCCAAGATAAGGGCACTCAAAAAATGAGCATAACTTGCAGGTGGCCAAGTATGCAGGGTGAAAAATCCCACAGTGCACAGGGGAGGAAGTTCTCAATTGAAACAGTAATTTGATGTGTGGAGCGCTGATTCCCATTCAGCGGTCTGAGGAGAGGAGAAAATACAATTTGCTCACAGCAAAGGTTCGTAATTCTCTCTCGTAGACTTTAAACTTGTAACACTCTGCGCCGTGTCTTCCATAGTGCCACTCATAATTCCACCAGCGTTCCCTCTGACACATCTCCTCAGTCTGTGCATTCTCATGCTTGGCTCCTCTTTCCTTTGCACATGCTCCAATCAATCAATTAGAAAAAGCAGGAAAAGGTGTGGTGCATCTTTCAGCATCTCAGCAGGTAAATCTCTGCAAAATGTAAGCTTCAAGAAAGTGGGAAAAAACAAAACATCCAGGACGGCTCAACAGCATCATGATCCATGAAGACAGGGTAAAAGTCATACAAGTGATATCCACAGAGTCATATACAATGTGGGCACTGGAGGGAATCAACGCATTGCATTTGCTGGGAAGGGTGTTGGCAAAACTACAAGTATGCTAACATCCGAGTCTCATCTTTCAGACATCCAGTCTGACTAACAGCTGCTGTGGAAGTTTACCAGTAAAACACCCCAGCTGCATTTCTCCCACTGGATAAAACGCCATGTTTGAAACCCTTAAGGGAGGGATTTCTCACTTCTGGTATTTGCAGAATTTTTGGATTTCCAACTCACATGAACTCCAGAATGTTCACCCAGACGCAGGGAGCAGCTCTTTAAACTTTACCAGTTGCCACAGCATGTGAATGTTTACAGCTCAGCCCTCGAGTTGTGCGTAAGATCCGACCAAAACCCTCGGTGAGGGATGTTCCGTTTCGGGCTGCGGTGCTCTGCCAGCACATCGCCGGGAGATGATCCTAGTTTCCGCTGTCTGAGAGCGACAGCTTAATTTCTGTCTGATCCCACCGCCGAGGCCGGCCAGTCTAGTTCATCAACTTGGGCTGAGATTTATGTGGACTTGCCGGCCTGTCATGGCAAGTCTCTCTACGGGCGAAGCAGCTGCGGGAAATATGCACCACCACATTTGCATGCATCTTTTGACGAGTATCGATGGCTTGCAAAAACCCTGAGGCAAAGTCTGAGGAGGGTGATACCCTGTGGTTTGTTTTTGCTTTATCTCATGAGATCACATTTATAGTTAAGCTTTCCTGATTCAGTGCATGTTGCATGATAATTAATCGTTCATATGGGCTCCCAATTAAGCCCAACAACACCACAGCGAAGCACTACTTGTATAAAAAAAAAAGGTGGTGGGCTTCCACACAGCGGCACAGAGGCCAGGGAGAGTCTCACACAGAAGCCGACATGCAGGTTTAAGAAACGCTCAAATAGCCGAGGAGGTCTCATCCAGGAAGGAGCACTCAATCGTAAATTTCACCATCTTCCGCCGGGTCCATCCCAGCCTGCCTTCATCTCATATTTCCAGGGCTGTAGATGCTGAGCCTTGCTGCCTTACATTAGGACACATCCTCGCTCCAGTCCCGCTGTCGCCTGCTCATACTGTACAGCTGCTCCACCCCAGGATACCTGTGTTTAATGGCTCCATTTGAGCATGTTATAGTCCCGTTATATGTCCTTATTCTCCCCGTTGTGTGTATTTTTTGTCCACGGGCTTTAATTCTCCCTCACTGGTAGCGTGAGTGCAGTGGACGAGGGATGCAATCTCCTCCTATAACAGCGGATTACTGGAGTGTCAGCAGAGCGCAGGCGCACTGGCGCCGGCGATCAGAGGCAAAGCTGTGAGGCTGCGTTCAAGAGATTTAAATAAACCTAAATCGAGTCGTGGGGATCTCACTTGTTAATGTGAATAAGATCCTGGAGTGATGGCTGATGATGGGTGTCAGTGCCAGCCAAGGCAGGGCGAGGTGTGTTCACACACTCAGGGGACACACACACCACATGTCACGCTCACACTCACTAATAACCTAAGTGTCTCCATGTTTTCCTGCTGAAAGAAAGCAGCCTTCATGGTCAACGCCAGAGAGGGGGGGGAGTAAAGGGTTAAATAGAAGATAGCGGTGACTGCAACACTCATCATTGCTCAACTGTCCCTGCACATTACTGAGATAAGCCTTCAAACTTTCCCTCTCCTCTCTCTTCCACTTCATATCACTTTGCTGACCTCTTTTCTGATCCTTCTCTTTGAATCCAGCGTTCACCAGCACACTTAAAGCACAGGCCTTAACCATGGCATTAAAATATCCATAGCATCCTTCATTGCATTGAAAGCAAGTGTGTTAACCATTAGTCAAGAACAAATGCAGGTCAAGGAGGCCAGTCATTCGTCTGGGAATCTGCCTAGTTTCGCAGTAAGGGTGTGTTCCCAACGCAAAGATGAGTTATGTGGAAGCTGCCTTGTTGAGTGAACTGAGACTGAAACTGGTTTGTCTGGTAAACTTGACTTCCACTGCAATTCCAGGGAACAACACAAGCTATGTGGCAGATGTGGAGTGAAGTCTAACCCCAGCTCCAGAGTGAAGATGTCAAGAATGTGTGCGTCATACAGAACGCCAGGCATAAACAGCTTACTTGTGTTCATCATAAAACCCCATTCAGTGACCAAATGCACATGCAGGTTGTGCAATCACACCCATTTAACCTAACTACATAACAGCACACTCACAATGACAGAAGTGCAAAAACAACTAAATCACTAAAGCAGTTTGCACAGGTTGTTATCACCACACAAAACTGCAAATAAACGAGCACTTAAGTCAGACGACTGCAACCCTCCTTTGTTAAGGGTGCACCTGTCCAAGGGCCACCTGTCCCTCTGCAAGCCAGCACCCAGAGACACAGCAGCTGACACAGTCAGTGCCAGCGAAAAGAGAGAGATTGGATTTCACTTCTTTTCTCCCGGGACACAGAGGGGGAAGAAGGGAAAGGGAGGATGTGAGCTGATTTCACGCTACATTGTAAGTTGTCATTTCTACACCACCCAAAATGTCCTGGCTGCCTGTCACACACTTGTTTTCTCCCCTGTGGCCATTCTCTGAGCAGAGCACAAATGATTACACTCTACAAGCTCACTCCCAACTACACACATTAGCCTTTCTTTGGGATGGGGATTCTCAAGTGGATGAGAGAAGTTCAGGCCTCAGGTCATGCATCATGCACCCTGCTGAAGTGCCCATGAGGCAAGCAAAAGAGTCTCTAGTATCTCTGGTTCATCTGCCTGACCTTGCCCTCTGACCTGCCCCACTCCCATTCACACACAGCAAGAAAAATGTCCATGTTGTTATTGAATTATCCTGCTCTGCTAAGTGAGGCAGCCACAGTGGAACAAGCTCCACAGCTGTTATGTGAAACCACGTTTTAAATAAGAGGCACTGTCACATAATCGATCTATTTACGGCCAAAGTGTAAGCCTGTGAGCCCTGTCACTACCACTAACATTAGCTATACGCTGCAGCAGCCTGATGAAAACTCTCAACAATCCCATTGAGACAGCGCGAGCCGAGGACGCCGGGGACTCTGTAAACAAAGACACTCTTATTCAGTGAAATGGTCGACGTTACCGATGCTACCCTACAGCTGTGTACTTCTCAAACTCCAGCCACACGTCGGTTATTCTTACCTCAAGTCGGTCGGAGGGGAATTATTCCTGTTTTTCGCTCGTGTGTGCGTTAACTTTTCACAGCCATCGAGACGATAAGTTCTTCCCGGGTTGTACTTCGGCCACCGTAACCTCTCCAGGCTTTAGCTTCGCGCGCTCCGCTGCCGCCCCATATTCCCGACATTTGTGACCAACACGTACATGTACAGTTTATTTTCACTCCGACGGGTATTCACGAGACTGATGCGACCGCGTAGGTTTACCTCAAACAGCCCAGGAAGGAAGGGGAATCTCCAAGGAGCAAATAGAGCACGCGCGTACGTCGAATGCGTACCGGGTGGTTGCTTGCTACGTAGGAGCGCACGCGAACGTACGTAAAAGCCAGTCAAGAATACAAGGGTAGAAAACTACATTTCCCTGGTTCTACACGGACATTTTCGACTAGGTATATCCGGGTACAAATGTCGTCACCTTTGACAAACATAAATAACCGAATACACGGTATTTTAAGCCTTACTAAAATACATTTATATTCACGTGTGTGATTTTGTTTTTTCCTTTAATTTTCAACCTGTACAAATGTCCCAGTTGTGCCTACATTTCAATCCTGAGTAATAAATCAGAATAGATTCCCATTTCTACCCCACAGGCCAGTGTCAGGTAGTGGCACTCTAGTGTCATCTAGTGGCATTAAATGTGAACTATGTGATTTAAACCACTGGTATCATTACTGTTTGTTGGGATGGGTCTAAAGGCAATAAAACAAATCATTTTTACATCTTAAGAGGGTTCATTTCACATTCCTATTTACATTTGAATATTTAAATATATTTATAATGTTTATTTAAGTATGTAAATAGGAGCACTGACGCCCTCCAAAAAATAGTGGCTTTGACATAATTTTTATCCTTTGGGCAATTTAAGTCTTTAACTGTGTCACATTTTATTTCTAGATGTTATTATTAATTATTGATGCTTTGATTTATTTTTCTTTTACGTCTTTACTTGCGTTTTTTCCTTTTTTTCCTTTTTTTTTTACATTTTATTGCTGTAGAAATTTTATTTTATCTTTTATTTATCTATTATTATCTTTTAATTTTTATATTTTATTTTTTCTCTTTAATCTTATTCTATTTAATGTCCTTTGATTTTGTCTTGTGCTGCTGTGATACTTGACTTTCCCCCTGGGGGATCAGTAAAGTATATCTTATCTTATCTTATCTTACCTTATCTTATCTTATCTTATCTTATCTTATTGTTTTTACTTCATGTTGCCACTTTTATGTAAGTTTCTCTTTGTTTTTTCTGTGTCTGAGTGCTTTTATTTCTTTATTTGTTATTTTACTCAGCTACATTGTAAATTAGGTCTCTACCTCAATATATTTCCGAGGTAAAATAATGGAAATACTACTACTACTACTACTAATAATTTAGGCTTAACAAATATTTCCCTCTGACAACCTTTAAATTGCTTGTAATATTATTTGTCCTACTTTTAATGATATGGATTTCAGTGTTAATATTTTGTTCATGACTGTCTCAGTTTGTGAGTGTGTGTGTGTGTGTGTGTGTGTGTGTGTTTGTGTATCGTATCATACCGTATCATATATCATGTCACATCACATCACATCATGTGTATGACGTTCTGTGCAATTGTGTCCTAATACAATGTTACCATATTGAGTATTGCTGTATGGACTGTATTTAGGTTAATGTTGTATTGCTTTTAAGCAATTTTGTCCTAAAAGGGACATAACTTTTTTGCAAACTATAAATAAAGACTAAGATTATTTCCATTTCAGTCATAAAGCATTGAGAACTTTACTTTTTTTTTTTTGGCCATATCTTGAGTAAGAATGCAATAGACTTTATTGTCATCGCACAAGAAGTACAACAAAATTTGCTGTGCCATGCCTGAAAAATAAAAAAGAGAAAATAGACAGTAATAAATACACAACACATATACTGTACGTCCACAATCATCCCAAATCAATAAATATAAAAAATAACATTAAAAGCAGTATTGTGCTGCTTTTAGTGAATCCAACAATATAGACCAACAAGGAATTCAGCGAAGTCACAGAATAGCCTGCAATTTATTGACCATTTAATGTTACCTAGTGTTTTGTTTACCCTATTAAACTGTCCACTATTCCTTTAAAACCACGAGTGAAATTACATTTTCATTAGGATAAAGAATAGCATGTGAAACATTCAGTGAGTCTGGATTATCTCTGTTAATGCCGGTGTCACCCGGGTTGTTTGAACCAGGGAACTTCAGAGGATTAGGCCAATATCAACAGGGTCGGTATACTTCAATAACGAGATAGCATAGCGAAGTCTAAAAAACCTATTAATGTCTTATTGAGATAATTTTCCTGTGTGCAATCAGTCAACAGAATTCACTTGGATGTGTGTTTGGACCTTTGTAGAAAATAAAATGAACCCAGGGTTTGTGCTGGATGAGTGATTCATGAATTACAACCTTGGGGTGAAGTCAGTAATCTGGGACACAGATTAAAAAAAGAAAAACTACCCTGAGTGTTACTTTTAGAACTTTTTATGTATTTCTCCTATATTTATATAAAGAAAATGTGTTACCAAGTAAAATACTAAACACCACCTAAATTAATAATTCCAATATGCTATTTCCATGGCCTGGGGAAGTTTAATCAGTATTTGTGAACATGAGCTACTCACTGTCACAGCCAGAAACCAGAGAAGTCTCAAACTTGTGATGTCATAGTGTATTAAGTCTGGAGCTGCTCCATAGTCACTGAATGTGAGACTGATTTTGTGGGTGTCAAAGGGTGTTTCTTTTCTCTTTATACCCAAATGAGCTTTATTGTATTGTAGTGTTCTCAGTCATGAAACAGAGTGTACCCATATATTGAATCATACTCCTCTGGCTGCTTTCACTGTCATCTAGACTGGCTGTTCTGACAATTTTTTGCTCATGACTGTCTCATGCAGTGCACCCAAATTCATACATATCCCACATATTTTGAAAGGCTGCAATCAGATGACCAATGCGCTGATGGCAGTAAATAAGAAAGCAGTGCCAAGTGCTTGTAAGGAGGCAGATTGGGATGGTGGATATTAGATA